GAAGAAAAAAATGCCAAACATCAAATTTGCTGTTTTGTATGCTTACCCAAAAATCATTACTTTCAGAGATGCTCATTTGATACAACCTTTGCACTATTGGAAAAGGCGTATCAAAAGACTCACTATATTGCTTGCTGAGAATTTTGTCACAAATTTCAGATTTTTAGCAGCTCAACTCAAAATGGCCGAAGTTGGAGTGATTCTAGTCCCCTGCTTCCACCTCAGACTTCACCGTTTATCAAAGCTGCAAAGGCAATTTCACAAAATAAAGAGCTTCCTTTATCTAACAAAAATTAAATTTGTGCAAATCCGCTGAGAGGCCAGAGGCTATGAATTTTTAAAAATAATGCAACAAAACTTCTGCGTCAACCTACTGTTTTCCTGCAATTAGTTGCTGAAAAACAAAGAGTACGGTTTTACAGTTATATGTATCATAGGTTTCAAAAGGTAGTTGGATTGTTACATCCACCCTTTTACGCCTTGGTTATATTTTTTGGTCAAATTTGGTCTTCAAAAAGATTCATTTTCGTTCTTACGTTTCTTAAATTAGTTTTACATTTGTAAAATTAGAAGAAAAGTAGCGTTACACCTCCACAGACGTTACTTAGGATTGGTTATTCTTGATGTATGTTTGTAGTCCTATCATAATCTTCTGCTCCCTTTTGACGCTGTTGATGACTTTTGATTTCATGCATTCCTAACCTACATGACATGAAGATTGGGTCATTTCGAGTTTTATCATTCATTCGTTCATATAACGTACAACATCACTGCAAAACAAATGTCAAACATACGAGAAAGTGAAAGACTAGTTCAAGGCCGATATATTCGATATATCTTTTCAAGAGATTACGATTATGCCGAGAGGGTAAGTAGTTGTGTCCTAGGGACTCTAGTAGCACTGAACTATAGGAGAATAACTTAATCGAGGCTGGGATAGGATCCTAGGCAGTTTTGGAGGGGAACCAGGCACACTGCAAAATCTCAGAGAATGAATGAAAGAGAATCGAGTTGTTGAGCTAGACACTGGTGTTGAAACCGAAGAGATTCCGTGATTGCGGCCTTGACGAGGCTGGGGTTAGCCTGAAATATGATTTTCACAAAAATAAAAAACCTTTATTACAGCAAAATTGGGCTCTATACGGACCTTGCCGGCTCCAAAGTGGCAGGAGTAGTCCTGGCTGGAAACCGTTGAGTGAGTTGAGGTCCGTCATCTAGGGAGCCTACCGAGGCCACTCTCCCCTTATTCGTGTAAGCCTGAAAATAACGTTTATTTGTCGAAATTTTGGAAAATTGTGTTAATTGTCCGAAGCACTCACAGCATTGTCTCCGTAGTTATATTGTCGTTGCTCCTGGATTCTCTTCTGTTTCACACACCAACATCCAAGGAATACCGCCATTATAGCCTAAAAATAATTTGAAAATTTTTTTCTGTGTTAGAAGCACAAAATTCTAGAAAAATCAAAACTTACCAGAATTATAGCTACAGTACTGAATATCACAGTAATCCATTTGAAGTAGTTTTC